GCCGAGAGACAGGTCTATGCCTTTCTCTGAAGATGATTTTGAGCTCTCCAAATTTAAAGAGAAAAGGGTGGGATATTGAAAATCACACAGTTTTTACTTAAACAAAATGGGGAAATGAAAAATGTGGGAAATCTGCATTTCACATAAAATAATACAGACAAAATGGGGTAGGGGAACAATCTGATTTGCATTTGTGTCTGGCAGGTGTGGGTAACTGCACCTGTAAAAATAAGCTATCAATTAGCGTTGACATGGTGTAGTTTCAGCAACTCAGCAGTAATTTCCTTTCACAAACCCAACAATTCCTGGTCAGCAATACATCACATAGTTTTACCAATTTTTCTGTCCAGAGCAAACTACTTGAATGTCTTCTAAAGATATCCAGTGTGTTTTCTTTCATATTTTTAATATCAGCATTTTATATTATCTCAGCACTATCCAACCACACTACACACAGCCCAAAGTCCCCAAATTGCTATACTGCAAATCTGAATAAATAACATTGTGTTTTTTGTTTTCTTTCCAACCTTTATTTCAGATTTACAGGGTGCATGGGCAGGTTTTCTTTAGGGGTAAATTGCATGTTGCAGGAGTTTGGTACACAAATGATTTTGTCACTCAGATAGTGAGTATAAGACCTGATAGGTAACTTTTCTACCCTCACCCTCCTCTTACTCTTCACCCTCAAGAAGGCCCCCAGTACTTATTGTTCCCCTCCTTGTGTCTATGTGAATTCCATGTTTATCTCCCACTTATAAGTGAGAACATGTAGTAGTTGGTTTTCTGTTCTTGTGTTAGCTTGTTTAGGATAATGGCCTCCAGCTGTATCTATGCTGTTGCAAAGGACATTATATGATTCTGTTTTATGGCTGTGTAGTATTCCGTGGTGTACATGTACTACATTTTCTTTGTGCAGTTCATTGTTGATCATCTAGGTTGATTCCATGTCTTCTCTACTGTGAATAGTGCTGCAATGAACACAGGAGTTCATGTGTCTTTTTTTTGTAGAGTGATTTTATTTTTTTCCTTTGATATATACCCAGAAGTGAGATTGCTGGGTCAAATGGTAGCTCTGTTGTAAGTTCTCGGACAAATCTCCAAACTGCTTTTCACAGTGGCTGAACTAATTCACATTCCTATTAACAGTCTATAAGTGTCCCCTTTTCTTTGCAGCCTCGCCGACATCTATTATTTTTTGACTTTTTAATAACAGCCATTCTGACTGGTGTGCAATGGTATCTCATTGTGGTTTTGCTTTGCATATCTCTGACAATTAGTGATACTGAACACCTTTTCATATGTTTGCTGGCTGCCTATATGTCTTCTAAAATGTGTACATGTCTTTTGCCCACTTTTTAATTTTTGTTGTTGTTGTTGAATTTTTTAAGTTCCTTATAGATTGTGGATATTTGACCATTTTGGATTCATAGTTTGCTAATGTTCTCTTCTATTTTGGTAAAGTCAGTGTTTTGACATTTTTTCTGGCTTTTATTATAAGATACTACTAACTGATCTTGATCTCTATTTTTTGTATATATTTTCTATTTCCCTGTGACAATAATTGACTCTTAAAAAAAAAAAAAAACTTGCTTTCTTTTGGAATTTTTGACATAGCCATCCCATAATTTATACATGCTGTAAAATGCTTGGGTAATATAGTTCTTCACAAGCCCTTTTGGCTCAAATAACCTATTTGTTGCCGTTTCTTTTTTTTTCCCCCCAGCCTTTCCTGGAATTCTAGAGCCCCCTCAGATTGCGCTATAGATTTGTTACATAGTTGAGTTGTCATCCTTGGAATTACCTTCACCTCTTTCAGGTGTTGGGTATCCTCTTTTTCCAATACCTCATTAAATTTTTATTTATTTATTTATTTGTTTTGTTGAAATACATACTCAGAAGCTTTCTGAGAAAGGAATAATGAGAGCTACATTTATTTTTTTAACTTTTCATGTCTAAAATATATACCTTCTACCCTTATACTTGAGTACCAGTTTACTGGATTAGAAGTCTAGTTCAGGAACTATTTTACCTTGCAAGTAAGCTATTTTGCCTTGTAAGGCATTTTTTTTCCTATTTTTTGTCTTCTAGTGTTGTTATTGTGATCTCAGATGTTCTTTTAATTCTCAAATTTCAGTAAATTTTTTCTGCTTTAGAAAATTTTAAAATAATATTTCATCTTAATTGTAAAATTTAACAAAATGAAAATTGTTTGCTTCTGCTGTACTGTCTCTCCTCAAAACTTATAACCTTTTATTTTAGGAAAAAATATTTATAAGGTAATATCCTTCATATCAAAAAGTTTCATTTGTTCTTTTTGAAACCTCCCTCTGTTAGTGAAATAATGTATGTCTACCTCTATCCCTTAATATTCCTTTAGTAAAAATGTTTGCTTTGGTTTCTACACTTTGTGTTGCAAACTTCCCTTATGAATATGGAAAACTTTGTTCACTCATATTCACAAATGAGGCAGTGGAAAGCAATCTGTGCATGGATGGAGCTTGTCCATGGTGAGCTTGTATAGGATGAACATGTAGCTTTAAGATTTTTCACTGGAGAACCTCACATATCAGAATGTTTAGGTTTTAATTCCGGGATTCTCATTTACTTCATGGTAGATCATCCGGCCTGTTTCCTGTAGATTAGTAGACTGGATGTTTATATTCTGGAGCTTAGCAGTCAGACCTGCAGTTTCATGGTTGAGAAAAGAGCCTTTTACTTTAAGTTTTCCTGTCTTAGGACTCACTTCTTTTCATCTCCCATACCACACACCTACTACCTTTGAGCCAGAGATTTCCTCCCAGAAGCTGGAGAAAAGATAAACTTAGTACTTACCAATAAAATATATAATAGAGGGTTAAAAGTGCCCTTTATATAGACATTTTTACAATATACTTGTTTAATGGCCTCCTGGTCCACAGCCTCTGATAGCATCTGGCATCCCCACTCAGCTTCCTTAACATCAATAACCTCATCTGTGGGCAGAGGTATATTCTTCCAGGAACTTGCCAATTTATGGGTGATACAGAGCAAAGCAGCAATTTTAAAAACACGGACTGCCAGAAAACCAGGCACATTTGAATAAATAATAAAAGTATCAACATATTCAGCTAAAAGCAAACTAGATCAAGAGAATTTTTGGGTCAGAGTTAGAATACCAGGAGCCAGAAAAGATTATTACAGAAAGGGCTCTTAAGCAAATTCTGAAAGTGGGATATACCTTGTTTTGGAAGAAAAAATTAACCCCTGATGAACAATGATTTTTTATTATCTACTAATATCATCTCATTTTAGTGAATGTGAATTGTATCCACCAAACTAAACATATAGACTTAGCAACATCTCATTTCTTTCTGAGATTAGCATGCCAATTTTGGTGATATAAGTCATATGAACAAAATTTTAGTTAGTTTTAGTACTAAGCAAAGAATATTTGAACAAGGTGTCACTGTTATCTAAATACATGTGAAATAAGAACACTAAAATCTTGAGTACTTTTAGGCATATGATTTCTTATTTACAAACAGCTAGAATTCAAATGATATTCATAGATCTGACTATACTCAGCTTCTGGTTATCCTGAATGATAGAAGATAGCCATATTTTCAATAAATCAAATATATATTTATTTCTATTCATTTAATGTATTTATTAAAAATGTAAAACTTAAGAAAGTTTATGCATACTGACCAAGCTATCTTTATGTATGATAGCATAGCAAATAGAACAGCAACAACAACCTGGAAGAAGTAATAGAAATCATATTTGGTGGAGATTCCTGTGGCCAACTTGAATTTTTCTGGAAACTGTTACTATAATGGTAGATTTGTCAATGTTATTATCTCATAACAACACTGAGAAATGTTTACAAGCATCTCACATGATGAATTTTAGGCTCACTTCTGTAAATTATGTGCACATAATGCATTCCTGGTATAAAAATATAAGTACAAAACATGATGAAAGAAAAGATTATCAGATGTTGACACAAAATGAACTAAATCTCCTCCCATATAATACAGAAATCTAGGACTAGGTAGTAAACATATTATTTAAAGTATTTAATGTATGTCACTCCAGATCCACAGCACCCTAGTTGGGAAACAGACATGTCTCTATGAAATGTAAAATATGTATTTGAGACAAAAAGAAATAGTATAAACTTCTTCAGCTGGTATGAAAAAGTGAAGGAAAGTTTATTATGAAGCTTTCAATACTTGTTAGACATTTTACTAGCTGCTTAAAATGTGCCATGTCATTTAGTATTCCAGAAACCTAGATTAGGTAGGTATTGACATTCCTATTTTAACTCTGGTTCATGGTGGGCAGGTCTACACAAACCTACCTTAAAGTGAAAAGAAGCTGAGAGAGAGGCCAAAGACAGAGGCTGACAAATCTAGTTTCTTAGAAAAAAGCATTTAACAGGGACTTAAGAATAGAAGACCTGGCTGTGTCTTGGGTGGTGGCAAGACAAGATGGTGGACTCCTGCCCCATCACCCCCAGGCACAGGGCTTATGTACCATAAGGAAGGGGTGCCACAGAAGGGATGTATAGGACAAATGAAGCACAATAACATCAAGGTTGTTTGACCTAATTGCAGGATTTATTGCACCTAAATGGACTAAGTCCCAGCTCTTCCACAAGGAACAATAGATAATGGAAAATCTTAGAGGCCTTCTTGGAACTAGAGTTAATCAGAAGCCAACATGGCTAATTAATATCCAAGATGGAGTTTCTTTTGCTTCCACAACTCAAACAAGCCAAATTGTGAAGAGGTAACAAGAAGTTCCAAAAGCAAATATCTCATCTGAGAAGTTAGGTATTAGTAGTTAATAGTTGGTTAGATCATTTAAAATAATTCATAGACCTTTCTGTTCATGACATCAAAACAGAGTAGCAAGACAACAAAACCCAAAATTTGCCAATTGTTTATGATGTGCTTTCCTTGCAGCTTCAATGTTCTTATTGCAGTTTTTAACTTTTTTCTATGTGTTGATTGTAGCCCGAGTACAAAACTGGTGTACAAATATCACAAAGAGTGGGAAAAAGAATGAATGCTGCCTGCTTATGTCGCAAGGTGAGTACTAGTATTGCTACATCAGTTTTATGTGTGCTATGCAAAGTACCATGTGTAAAACAGCACTGAATGCATGCATTTGAAAATTATCAGTAACTTTCAAATTTACGTAGAATGTAAATGTAATGAAAAACGTAACTTCAACTTCACAGTGACTGGTTTTCATTGTTAAACATGTTTTCAGAAGTCTGGATGAGTTACTATTAGATTTTTGAAAGAAAGTTGACCAGTTTGAGATAGCTATGCTTAAGTTCTAGATTTTATTATTGTTCTCATTCCTTCTGATGAAGAATTAATTTAATTCTATAAGAATAATATAATTGTTTATAATTGAATAAGTATTCTAAACATGTGCTTATTCGTTTTCTCACTGCATCCTACCATTATTTTCAGTTTAAAGTAGCCAAGATGAAACATAGTTCATTTTCTTCCAAGACAATTTCCTACACATATTCCCCCTCAGAAATAAAAGAAAAAATAGTAGTCCCAAATCTAAATGGAAAATTAAACATATCAAAGCAATTTTTTGGTTTAGTTATTTTTTCTCTGATGGGTTATTCTTTGTTTTCACCTTATTATTCTCCCCAACTTTACTTTGTATTTTCTGCCTTTTGGACTCTAATATAATTTCTTGTTTGTTCTCTATTTCATTACTATACATTAAAATAATAATTTTCAAACTTAGAAATACATTATTTTTATGAAACATTGCATTAGAGTGTTTATGAACATTATCAATTTATATTTTACATTTGCAAATTACTTTTTACAATGCATTAATATTTAAGATGGATATATTCTTTTATTAGACCCATTTCCTCTAAGTTTATTGTCAATTTAGTGGTGCATTAACATACTATGCTTTGATCTTACTGCTTTGGCGTTATTACTATGGCTTTCAACGATGTATCACTTCTCAATATTAATTTCCACATTGAAAACAGGTTTTAATATTTTCTTTGTATCACTGGGAATTCTCAGCATAAAAAGAATTCTATGGCTATTTTAGGGTGATAATATTAAATCAATCTAAAATTTAATGAGACAACAAACCAGGCTTCCATAATTCTTACCATGAAATTAATGTCACTGGAAACGGATATTTTGTCAACATATTTAACTTTAAAACTATTGCAGGTAAAGCTTTTAAAGGAGTCTTAAGCTTTTCTTTAAATATATAAAAATACACACACATATATATATATATATATAATATTTTGGATAATAAATATGTAGGAAAATTCTTGATATGAAGTTCTTGCTAGAAACCCTTGTTTCTATTATCAGTACACACACACACACACACACACACATTTGTTGACTAGGAAATAACATTTACTTTGAGATGGAATTTGTGTGTATAGAAATTTTTCAGAAAATTCATTTGTTTAATATTTAAGTTTCATTAGTTCAAAGAAATAATACTTTAAAAATATTTATCTTTCTCTTAGCATTTTAATAAAGTATCTTCAGATTATATGTAAATTCTAATTGTAGCAATTATATCTTAGTGTTTAATAAGTATATGCCCACATATAGTATACTCACCTACATTATTTTAAAGTTTATATTTCTTAATATTTTTTCTCTGTAATCTCCATTTTATTTTAAATTGGTACTCAAAATGTATTTGTTATTGAATGAATTCTTGAAGAAAAGCATTTATATCATACTACAGATGAATAGCTAACTTTCAGGTAAACATTGAAAAACAAAATACCCTTAAAGTACAGGAGAATTCCATACAAGCCATTCTCATAGTAATAAAAAAATGGCTAAGAATCACTCATCTTTTAATTACACTAGTTTATATCTTCTGGTTAATTGCTAGTGATCAAATAAAGAAAATAAATGAAAAATGAGTCACCAAAAAATTAAAAATAAATAAGTTCTACATTTCTAAATATTTCTTAAAATCTTGATTTATCTTCATTCTTATCAGTCTTCAACAAAGTAAGTTTTTTTTTTTTATATTCTCTAAAGATTCTTGGTGCCATCATATTAAGATTCATCACACATTTCTGCAAAAAAAAAAAAAAAAAAAATGCTCCCTACTTCTGTCTGAAAGGAAAGAAGAGACTTTGTCCTGTTAATTACAATGATAATTCTCTACTAGAATTTCCTGTTTGAGAAAAGAGTGAGATAACTACAAAAGTTGCTTCTGCTCTTATTTTAATAAATATTTCTCATAAATAAAGTTTTTTTTTAAAGTTTTGCTATTACAAAAGTTAAACTTTTTATAAAAGAAAGGGAGTGGTTTCATAACATACTAAAGTTACAGACGCTGTACCTTGCTCTCTCTATATAAAGACAACAAATCCTAGCATGATCTTCAGAGAACTTGTATACTACTTCTGTAATGGAGTAATTGACATGTGAGCATTTCAAGTATAAAACTTTCTGAAATTCAAGAAATTATGTCGTGTCATTCAAAAACATTGAATCAATTACCATTGTTTGAGCTAAACAGAATTAAGCAACTTTATAAGTACCTGTGTTTCTTAAAATTTTAATAAGCCTAGCTACCAAAAATTTCTTTCTTAGATCTTGAATGCCTCAGGAATCTTCAGTTTTGTCTGTGTACTTCTTGCACTCTTAGCTCATGCCTCCCCTTATATTGTGATTTGTGTGTATAGATCCTATCTTCCCAATAAATTATTACCTTTAAATGGTGGGTATACTTATCTTATGCATCTTAGCATCTCGTTTCTCTAGAAAAAAAATGCTATATGCAAAAGAGGTTTTCATGAAATTATTGGTCTTGGTCACTTACTTACAGGGTGGTAGAAGCCTGGTAGAAGGGGACAAGAGAGTACCTCAGGGAGCTGGCTGGCAAAAAGAGCAAGGAATTATCTGAAACAGGAATGTGAGGAACTAAATGTCACTTGTTCTCAGCTGTGGAGTATACTCACTATTCTAGGAAAGTTGTAAAATATCTCACAGGGAATCCCATTCCATCTACACAAAATAGAGCCAACATATGTATAAACTTTTTATCAACCCTTGCTGTATAGACAAAAGAAGATTATATTTCTTTCCAAGTACAACTAGAACATGCTATAACTCTGTAAGGGAGCCTGTGCCCTCCTCGTATCAAGAGTGATGGTCACACATAAACCCTCTTCTTATTGATGTTACACACCTGATTTTTGATCTCGCAATTGGAATAGCAGAAAGGATTGGAAGGTTTATGTTGTTCTGTAAACATTTCTAAGTCACTATGCTATTAGCAAGTGAATGCAACACCAGTTTCTAGACAATTGCTATAGATTATATGAATTTTCAAAAATTTTAATTGGAGTAGGAGAGAATAAGTAGAAGGGCAATATGCATTTTTATCAATTTCTTTTTTCTACTTTTATAAATATATAGAGTATCAGAATTCTCCAGAGAAACAGGACCAATATAATAGGATGTGGATATGTGTGTGTAAAAGATTATCTATCTATCTATCTATCCATCCATCCATCCATCCATCTATCGAACCATTCATCCATCAATCCATTTATCTATTGTCTTCTGTCATCTATCTATCTATATGTAAAGAGGTAGATTTGTTTTAAGGAATTGGCTCATACCGTGGTAGAGCCTGATTGGTATTGTAGCTGAAGTCCAATGGCAATTTAAAACAGACACTTCCACAGGTGCGTGTCACTATTTGTTCTGTTAAGACCTTTGACTGATTTGATAGGGACTGTCCGCATTATGGAAGATAATCTGCTTTACTCAAAGTGTACTGACCTAAATGTTAATCTCATCTAAAAGTATCTTTGCAGTAACATCTAGACTCATGTTTGGCCAAATATCTGTGTATAACTGTTTAGCCTAGTTGACACGTAAAACTTACCATCACAATTGATATTGTGTTACATTCTAAAGGACTATCTTACTTTTCCTCAAGCTGAGTTGTACAGTCATATTACTCTTCCTGTTGACCCCTTTACCAAGGAAAGTGGAGGTTGATACTGTACACTGTTTTCCTGGCTATGTTATGTCTGTTGATCAGTTCATGTCCATTTACATATGCTATACATTATGCAATAGAAGATTGAAGACCATTCCTCCTTGATTCATAAGGTGTTCAATAAAAATTAGGAAAATGAAAAATCAGAAGATTAATGAAGGTTAGGAATTGAAGCTAACCAATGAGATCAAGAGAAACATAATTAGATTTTATATAGAGGATGAAGATGATTAACTTCAATTTGACTAGTAGAAAGATGGTGTTGAGAATCTTTAGCATCAGGTGAGTTGGAGAGTGTAAAACTTTTAACAAGAAGAAGGGGAATAATTCTCATGTAACACAGTTTGAAAACATAAGACTCCTGAACACAGAGTCAATCATGTTCTATATTTCAGTCGGTCTCTTTTTAAAATTTAACACTATTTTTTTCTTTGTGCCTATTAACTGTGCACTGATTCAGAATATGGTAATTTTACCCATACAGTCACTTTGAAAGGTAATCTGTTGCTGCCAAATACTATGCCTTTTTATCAGTTCTAATTAGTGATTATTTATGTATACATATCCAGCTTTTCCTTCTACATACATACCGATTAAAATAATCCTCTGATGTTTTGAATATTATGTCTCACAACAGATATTTTGTGTCCTGACTTACCATTCATAAATAGCTAAATTTCTCATTCTGCCTTTTTACATTAAATAAATTCATATACAGGTAAGTTATTTAAAGTTCAAGAGTTTGAATTAAATGTCCTTAATTTTGATAACAAAGTTACCTAGAAGAAGCTTTATAATATATTCTTCTGCAGAAGCTAATGTAGAAAAAATCTAGTAACATTGAATACAGAATCCATTAACTTTAAGATAGTGAGATGAAGGAAGTGCTATCACCCATATGCCTTGCCTAAGTCTGTAAGGCACATCATTCAGATTTCTGAAGCATATGGTTAGGTCATTACTTTCTGTCCAAAAGTCTGCACAAAATCACTATTTTGTATTATACTTAAATTGGTTAAACACATTTCTTAAAGTGAAGCAAATTCAGAAGACACTTTGAGATACTTAAATATAGCTCCATCAGTGAAATTGTGTAGTAGATATACATCTGAGTTAAAAGTATATCAATAAATTATTCTTATTAGAATTCCTTCTAAAGGAATGATTTTGCCTGCTATATTTAGGAAAAATTGTATGTCCTTCGCCCACTTTTTAAAATAAGTTGTACGTGCGGCCAAAAATCATATGAAAAGAGGCTTGATACCACTAACCATTAGATAAATGCAAATCAAAACCACAATGTGATACCATCTCACACCAGTCAGAATGACTATTAATAAAAAGTCAAAAAGTAAGAGATGACAGCAAGGTTGCAAGGAAAAGACAATGCTTATTTATGCTGCTGGCAGGAGTGTAAATTAGTGCAACCATTGTGGAAGACAGTGTGGCGATTCCTCAAGGACCTAGAAATAGAAATTCCATTTGACCCAGCAATCCCATTACTGGGTATATATCCAAAGGATTACAAATCGTTCTACTATAAGGACGCGTGTACACGAATGTTCATTGCAGCACTGTTTACAATAGCAAAGACCTGGAACCAACCCAAATGCCCATCGACGATAGACTGGATAGGGAAAATGTGGCACATATACACCATGGAATATTATGCAGCCATCAGAAACGATGAGTTTGGGTCCTTTGTAGGGACATGGATGAACCTGGAAACCATCATTCTCAACAAACTGACAGAAGAGCAGAAGATCAAACACCGCATGTTCTCACTCATAGGCGGGTGTTGAACAATGAGAACACATGGACACAGGGAGGGGAGCACTACACACTGGGGTCAGTTGGGGGGAAATAGGGGAGGGAGGGTGGGGGGTGGGAAGCTGGGGAGAGATAGCAAGGGGAGAAATGCCAGATGTAGGTGATGGGGAGGAAGGCAGCATATCACACTGCCACGTGTGTTCCTATGCAACAATTTTGCATGTTCTTCACATGTACCCCAAAATGTAAAATGCAATAAAATAAATAAATGGGAAAAAAAAAAAAAAAACAGAACTACCAATCCCGTTGCTAGGCATATGCAAAGGAATATAAATCGTTCTATCATAAAGATATATGCATGTGTATTTTCATCTCAGCACTATTCAAAATAGCAAAGACATGGAATCAACCTCAGTGCTCATCAATGGCAGACTTGAAAAAAGAAAATGTGGTTCTTTGCAGCAATATGGATGGAGTTGGAGGCCATTATCCTTAGCAAACTAATACAGCATCAGAAAACCAAATACCGCCTGTTTTCTTATAAGTGGGAGCTAATAATGAGAACACATGGACACAAAGAGGGGTCTAGCTGACACTGGGGCCTACCTGAGCTTGGAGGGTGAAAGGAGGGAAAAGAACAGAAAAATATAACTATTAGGTACGTGGCTTAGTGCCTGGGTGATGAAATAATCTGTAAACCAAACCCCTGCATGACAAGCTTATCTATATAACAAACATGCACATGCGTCCTTGAACCTAAAATAAAAGTTAAAACATTTTTAAGAATATATTCTACCCTATTCACAATCTTCACTAAAATTTTAATTTGACCATCAAAGGCTTAAACTCCATTTATTTTGAAAAAGAAAGAAAATTTAAGAACTTATACCACACAATTCTATGTGCTAGGCATAGAGAGAAATATGAGGAAGTGTACAATGACTCATTTCAGATTATGACTGAATAGCTGATGCATTAGCATCTTCTTGCTGTTGTAACAAATTATCACAAACTCAGTGTCATAGAACAGCTTAAGTTTATTATCTAAAAGTCAAATGTCTAAAATAGGTCTTCAGGGCTATGTTCCTTCTGGAGGATGAAGGGGAAGAATTTCTTGTCTCAATTTTATTGGCTTCTCGAGCTGCCCACATTTCTTGGCTTATGGCCCCCTCTACTCTGACCTTTACCTCTGTTGTTAGCTTTCCTTCTCTGATCTTGGGCATTGAATATTCCAAAATCTCTCACAAATTATATGCTACCTATATTCATATTTTACTTAACTATTCTCTAGTAGCCAACATAGTTACTATTAACTCATTTGACTTATTATCAGTGTCATAAAGAGTAATGATATTGCTGCTATGAGTTCCTTCCATATAAGACTAGAAATCTAATATTTTATATTTCAGATCAGCAGCAATTTTATTTTTTATAAAACAGTACTTATAGCAAGATTCATTGCAAAATGTTTTCTCTGAACTTATTTTTTAACACATTTTTTTTCTTTCTGTTCATAAAGAATATAGAAAAAAAGGAGAATATATTAATGTAAATTACTCTTTAAGAGAACTGGGTAATATTAAATATATTCTAAGATAAATTATTAGTAATATATTTCTGTAGTCATATCTTGAAATAAGAGGACTTGTAAACATTTAAAACGTATCAAAGAAAATTCAGTGCACTGCTTTCAGATAATCATAGAACTTTTATGAAACAATTTCAATTTCAAATAAAATGTTGCATGACATAATTAAAATGTTTACGACGATTCTAAAATTTGCAAACTCCTGAAACAAAATCTATTTTCTGAACACAGTATAATCCTTGGAAATTTCTGTCAATGAACTAATGTAATTAATGTGATTAGTTACTGACTCATTTTAATACTTATTAAGTTATGAAACACAATTGGTTTTAACTCATTTTGGCTTTATCATGAGTTCTATTTCATTTTATATGGAGCACTCTTTTAGTTGAATCTATGTGGAAACTCTAGAGCTATATTTACATATGACATTTTCCAAATTAAACTATGACAGAGTTAAACGAGTATACACTATCATATAATCTTTTGTGTCTTTTAACATCTTACATTTTACTGTTGACTGCATTTTCATGTACCTTCAGCAACAAA